TCACAACCTCCCTGGGCAACCCATTCCAGTGCCTCACCACCCTAACAGCAAAGAATTTCCTCCTTATATCCAATCTAAACTTCCCCTGTTTAAGTTTTAACCCATTACCCCTTGTCCTGTCACTACAGTCCCTAATGAAGAGTCCCTCCCCAGCATCCCTATAGGCCCCCTTCAGATACTGGAAGGCTGCTATGAGGTCTCCACGCAGCCTTCTCTTCTCCACGCTGAACAGCCCCAACTTTCTCAGCCTGTCTTCATACAGGAGGTGCTCCAGTCCCCTGATCATACTCGTGGCCCTTCTCTGGACTTGCTCCAACAGTTCCATGTCCTTTTTATGTTGAGGACACCAGAACTGCACACAATACTCCACGTGAGGTCTCACAAGAGCAGAGTAGAGGGGCAGGATCACCTCCTTCAACCTGCTGGAAACACTCCTTTTGATGCAGCCCAGGATACGGTTGGCTTTCTGGGCTGCAAGCGCACACTACATGTCCAAGTAGTTTACAAAAGGAGAGTCAACAGATGTTATCAGTGGACACTGGCCTCTTCTAAGTCCACACAGAAGAAGTTAGCAGACTTCCTCATTCCAGGTTTAGAATTCAATACAAAAGTACAGCTAGAAGCCTTCTGGTAAAATACAGCTGTGCAAGCTGGTGAATTTCTGTGCTGCTTAAATAGCTACAGGTCTATCTTCAGCTACCTGGGTGGGACAAGGCTGCACAGTCACAAAGCAAAGCACATCCAGCCCTGCAGAACTGTACATTATAGGCAGACTGCCATGTAAGACTGACACTTTCTAGAGCAAAAGGACCACCGTGCTATGACCTATGCACAGGAAGGCAAGCAAGACCTACTTCTTTTCCAGCCTTCACTGAAGATGCTTTCCAGTTCAAGGCAGTTTTCTCCTAACTTCATCTGAATGTTTTAGCTAACCAAATAGAGAAACCACCATTACCCCCCAGGTACATTTCAGTGACTACTTAAAGTGCCAAATGCTTTGAAGAAGAAAATCTCTACAGACATTTGGTAGCATTTAAGATCTGACTGGGTTAGCAGTGAAGGCTCAGGCCATACAGCAGTAGCCCCTCTGAAAGGAATCTTCTGAATATTCCCACAGCAGGTCCAAACAAGGTCACCCTCCGTACAATGCCAGCTAGATATTCTGGTGCTCACACAGTCCTACTGAACATATTATATCCCATTGCTTAAACTATGAATAATGGGGCAGATCAATCTGAATCTAGAAAACGTACAGCTAGAGTTCTCATCACCTGCATCAGACAGCCCCCTCCTCCCGTTTGTTATAAGGGATAGTAGGCACACCTACCTTGAAATCGCTCAGGCTAGCTTGTCTCTTTGCATAGATATGCTCACAGTATTAATCCAAATGTCTTCAACAGAGGTCTGATTTTCAAAATACTTCGAAGTATAAATTCCACAGGAAACAGTAAAGTCAGGGGAGGGACAGAGACACAAATCAACTTCTACATTTGCAGACGCCTGCAGTCAGTAGCATAGGTCACTTCCAGAGTTAATCTTGGCAACAAAGCTTCTTTGTAGAGGAGAAAGACCTGCCAAAAGTAACAATGATAGTAAAATACCCCATTAACATCAATAAGCAACAAACCAGCACCACAGATTCAGACTCTCCTTCAGAGAAAATAATTTACTTTTATTTGAAATACTGAGTTTCTGTTAGCTTTGACATAGTTAAAATCAGCAGCAGCCTCTAAAGCTACCTCATATTCTGAGTACTTTAATCCAACAAATTATCTCAAGGAGGAAAAGCCTCCAAGAATTCAGATAATGTTTGATCATAGCAGAGCATATAACACTATGCCACAACACAGAGTGCCTTGTTTCAGACAAAATTTCCCAGCTTATTAGATGCCTTGGTGTACTCTGCATATCTTCACACAGGAATGCTTGTGTGAGCAGTGTCACACCAAAAAAATTAAGCTGCTGTCCAAAACGAGGGACACAGAGCACAATAAAAGTCCAGCACAGCACAAATAAAAGGTACATGCAAGAAGACTTCCTGTGCAACATAAATGCTCAGGAGTATTAGTGTGCTTCTGAATTTATCCAATTTGGATTTAAATAATAAAATAATAAAACATAAACCTCTTGGGACTCTTCTATGTCTGCATTTCACATCGTATGGCAGATCAAGGTTCCAAATCAAAGCTTTTGAACGCTATGGTGATACAACCTTCTGTACTTCTGGTACAACAGTAGGATTCTTTATAAATAAAAGAGGTCAGTTAGTTTTGCATCATCCTAAAATGCTCTGGAAGTACAAATGGGTTCCATTTTGCAAAAAAGACATTTAACTTCATACAATCACTTGTTTCCTCCTCTTTTCCTCTTCCCTCTGTGCCCACCTTAACACGCTCACCCATTTTCAGAATGGCATAATTCGAGCTCACTCACCCATCGGCACAATAATTAGTACCGACATTAGCTCCGAAAAGGCAGCGAGAGCGGGCAAGGAGCGGTGAGGCACACACCGAGCCTCGCCTGGCTCAGCAGGCAGCGAGGTCAGACGCAGCCGACTCCGCCAGCACAAAGGACCCGCGCACCGGCAGCGCCGGTCCATAGGCTTCCGCCCACCGGTGCCGGGCTCCGCTCCTCCCGGGAGGGGCCGGCGGCCGCGGGGGCTTCGTACCTTCCGCTGGGTACGGCAGCGCCTCCGCACAGTCGGGGCCGGAGCCAGCCCCGGCACCGCCGCCAAGGCCGCGCTCCGCTCGCGCCCCCGGCCCCGGCCCGCCGGCCGCACTAGCCCCGGCAACGAGGCCCGCGAGCGCCGCCGGGACGGAACGGTGAGCGGGGCGGGCGGTCCCGAGGCGCACTAACCGAGTGTGGGCCTCGGCCCACTCCCGGGGACTCCGAACCGGCTGCAGGAAAACCGGGGGCGGTGGGGCGGGAAAGCGCGGCCGAGCCACGGGCGGGTGGAAGCGGCCGTGCCTGGCACCGGCCGGACCGGGCCGGGCCGGCCCCGCGGGGATCCCTCTCCCCGTCACTCACCGTCGGAGCGGACGCGCCCCGCACTCGCCGCCAGCGGCGGCTCCATCCCGCGCGCGCCGCCACAGCACTCGGCCCAGCTGCGCGCGACGTCACTGCGCAGGCTCGGAAGGGGGGGGGGGGGCCCGGCGCGTGTGATGGCGTCACTGACGGTGGGCGGGCAGGGACACGCCCCCAGCGGGAGGGGCAGCGGGCGGTGGCTGCTGGCGGTCACGTGGGCCGCAGGCCGAGCGGGTGCCTGGTGCGTGCCGTGTGCTCGCGGTCCGGCTTGCGGCGTCCGCGCTGTGCTGCGGGACGGCGGCGTCACCTGTGTGGCTTTTGGCAGCAGCGGGGAGGGCGGCTCCGAGGGGAGCCAGCCTGGGCCGCAGCTCGGCCGGACAAGGTTCGCTTCTCGGCAGCCGGGTACAGGCCGCCCCGGTGACCGCCACGGTGCGGGCAGACCGTGAGCGCCTTCGGGCACCCAGCCCTGGGGAACGGAGCGCCCCCCGCCGCTCCCAGCACCCTGTGCGCACTCGCGCAGCTCGCACCGGGCCCCGGTGCGGGGAGAAGCCTCGGGCGCAGCCGCCGGCCGTGCTGAGCGCGCTGTGCGCTGACAGCCCTGCGAGGTAACGGTAGCTGCCCAGACACCTCGGTGCTGGCCTTCGCTGTGCCCTCAGCCCCCCCGTGGTAGATAGCTCCCGTTTGAGTCTGTGCTGGGTGGCAGTCACGGGTTCTCCATGTACTCTAAGAAGGATTAGTAGGCGGTACTGGTCTCCAATCTGGTTTGTGAAGTCTGATTTACCCTACGGAATAGTGCTTAGTGTTGTGATGAGCATACAGACACTTCTGGAATAGTCGAACTATGGTACACGTTTCAGAAGGGCTCCTTGATCAGCAGCTTCTGGTTTTCCACCATTTTCACCTAACAGTGAGTTAGACGAGGTGCTCTGAGAAGTCACCAAAGACCAGGATATTAAGACTGCCTCAGTGGATATGACCATCTCTCCTCATCTGCACAAGTGTCATCGAGGGTGACTCTGCTTGTGTAGTTTTAGAAGGCTGCACCCTTTCTTGAAGCTGATTCAATGAAAATTTGCCTTGATCTGTATTTGTCTGCAGCAATTAATGTATTTAGCCACAAGGAAGTTGGAATTTATACAACTTGACTTTTATTTCAAATCAGTGCTCATTAGTACTTAAAGTTTTTCACATGAAGTTCAAGAATTTATGAACACCAGCCAGTATTTTTCGCACTCAAATCCTCTCCTTGCCCCCTCGCCCCCAGCTGTCTTGTCTTTCCCCTGTAGCTCTCCCAGGTCACACTAGTATGCCTGAAGCTAAAGCTGAGCCTGGCTGTGACATGCTGGGGTGTACATGGAAGGCAAGAGCTGGATGCTGAATTCAAGGCACTGCCACTTGAGGTTACAGTCACAGGGTGTGCACAGGACGTGGATCCTGACATGCCAAGAAGACCTGAAGGCAGGAAATAAAATGTGGTGAACCTTTGCGACTAAAGCGAATACCCACCCCTGGCATAGTCGGCTCCACTGAGGAGTGTGATGTTGTATCCCTCCTTACCGCCTTCTTCTCTGATGCATCAATAGTCAAACAAAGTCTTATACTTTCCAGAAACAGTTGGTCACTGTGGACTCACTGGGCGTTGAGTGATTTGCAGCATCTAGGAAATGAGGGCAGTTTATTTAAAGCCGATGGGAACTTTGTTCCTTCCCTTATCTCCTAAAAAAAACCCAACAAACATATTGCAGAACTAGTAAGAGATCTTATAATTTCTGTTTAAACCATTTTTTCCACTTCTCCTCCCTTTCAAAGCTGAATTACCAAGCATTGAGATCTTGTGTCAGCACAAGAACAGAAAGTGAGACTGACCAAAAGCAGTAAGCGAACCCGAGTGGCTGACTTGCCCTGGCTAACTTCAAAGCAGGTACAGCATAACAATCAGCATACGTGGTGGCATTTCTATTTAAGATGTTTATTCATGCTATTTTTCTTATTTATTAATTAAAAATATCCAAGTAAGTAACAAATTGTTAGCGTTAGATCTCCAGCTGACATTAAATTTGGCTTTAAACATGTAAGTTTAGTAACTATGACATGATTAGGGTTAGATTAAATTATTAGATTCAAACTATTCAACTATTAGATTCAAAAGTTCACAGGAAATCTGTGGTTGTAGTCAACATACAGAAGTGATGAGCTGGGTAGCCAAGGAAGTAACTAGAGTACAATCATCTCTCGCTGCAGGTACTGGCTATTGAAGTTTTGGCTTATTAATTATATTCTGCCTGTATATACTTTCTCATAGGACTTTATGCAATATATGTCTACATATTTGATCTTGTACAATGTAGGTGATCAATGTGCCAACTTAAAATCAGTTCACTCCTAGCACAGGAGAAAACCATTTGGGCCTCATTGGTCTCTGTCCAACACAGAGGCTTGCGCCAGCACAGAATGAATGCAAAATAAGCACAGTGGTTATTTTTCTGGGCTGGTGGCATTCAGCACAGCTCTTAATGCTCATTTGCACAGGGCAGTCCTGGGACAGGCTGTGGCTCTAAATAGAATGCAGGGAGATGAAAGCTGGGCTAAAACACCAGCACAAATAGCTTGCATGGGGCTGAAACTGGGGAGGGTTTTGTGTGCTTCTGTCAATTGATCTTGATTCCTGTGGGGAGAAAACCCATCATGTGGACTGTTTACATTTATCTTTGTGTGCCTTCCTCAAAACATCACTTACACTGCCCTGGTCAGATCCTATGATGCCACCCTTGGTTTGTCAGGCAGGCCCTTCAGTATCATGAGAGTCCCCAGTCTTGTAGATATGAACCACTGTGCCTCCCTACATTTGGGGGTGGTTTTGGTCCTGTTCTTGTATAAATTTTGCTCTTTCAGTAGGGAGTTGCTGGGAAGAAACCAAGTATCTTATTGAAGACAGACATGAAATAACCTGGTGAATTGAATTGAATGTAATGGACTGATAAATTACATTCAGATTAAAGCTTAGTTCTTTAATCTCCAGTCACTATAGAAACTAACCCTGCCTGACTGCTGGGATACTATTTCAGAAGCACCAGCAGGCATCAGCTATACTTCCAGAAATGGTGAATAAAGGACATGAGCTACCCTGGGAGTTTGTTACAGACAAAAATACAAGCTCAGGAGGGCATTTCTGGTTAGAATGGTGAAAAATCTTTGATGATCTGACTGGAAAAAATATGTCTTTTAATTCAGCACCAGCTCTCAGAGAAGCTTTACAGCAATAACCACAAGTGTTCTGTGACTCCTGAAATCTGATTGCCTTTACATTCCTTCTTGCAGAGCATCAGAAGACGTGGCTACCTTACAGATGTTTCCTAGAGTCCGTGAGACATAGTTCAGTTTTGCAGTGCTCTTGCAATGAGAGAATTACTACTTTGACGTGTACCAGCAGATGTCTGGGGATAGGGTTCAGAATGATACTGGGCAAAAATAAGAGAAAAAGAATTTTTAATGGATTACAAACAATTTCCAATGTTTTGCAAGAGGTTTGGATGCCAGGCAGTTCAAGCAGGGTGAGTATGGCCTGTTTGGCCACCACTTGCAGTGAGCCTTCTGGATTAAGTGTTAGACAAGGGAACTTCCAAGGTGTTTAACTCCCAGGGTTGTAGTGACCAACCCCACCATCTCACCACTTAGACCACATCCCTTGTAGCATGGGTGAGTATGCCCTGTTTAGTCTGCTACCATCTGTCTTTGCAGGTTCCAGTGGCTCACAGACAAGCTGGACAAGGGCCCGGAGCAGATCCTGATGCCACACACCCCATGGGTGATGGGAGCTGTGAGACAGCTGCCCTTCAACTGCCTAAGCCTTGTGTGGGTGCACCCAAGCTCCCAGCATCTTCATTCTGGCAGTGTGTGCTCGCATGCCACCTGAAGCCCTCCTCTTCCCAGAGTCACCAGCCAGGAGGACTGGATGTGTCAGCGACAGCACTCCCGCGGGTGCTCTGCAGCACGAGAGCCGAGGCACTGAAGGGCTGCCCCTGCTCACACGGGGTGGCTGCAGGGAATGGTGTGTAGGGAAAACTCTTTTTTTTTTCTCTAGAAACTGTAAAAGAAGCTTTTTCCTTTGAGGGTAGTGAGACCTCTTTTCTGCATGCAGTGAGTGTAGTTTCATGCCTAATACTGCATGCATAAAGAATAATTCCACTTACTCATGCTTGCAATTTTGCAAGCACAAAATTGGGCATGTACATTTGAAATATGCAGTGAGGTAATGGATGCTGAAAGACAGGAGAATAAATTTAAAGCTGTTTAAGTGAAATAAATTACTGCTCTCTGACAAATTCCAGCCACACCAGCAGTTGTCCAAGAGCAGGAAGAAACTGTGTCCATTCTTTGAAAATAAGAAATAAAGCAGAACATTGAGCCTTGACTGCAAATACAGTAGCAGCAGTCATAACAACACTGCTTGTGCTGTCATGGCAGGAATAAAAAATGCTGAGCTGCAAAGCTTACCATTAAAAAAAGGGGAAGGGGAAGAGTTAGCTGGCAGGGCTTAACTGAAAACAGGCCATCAACTTGGAAGTGTAGAAAGCAGGACAGGGGTCAGGAGTTTGCTAAGAGGATTTTTACAAACACACATGTGATGTCAGTGCTCTCATGCAAAATGACACCTGTTAATCAGGTAAATCTGGAAAGACGGGATAATGTAGGAGAGAAAATTCTCTGAGACTGTTCCACTGGAAGCTATGAGACAGCAAGACCCAAACATCAATTCAGACAGAGACCGAGTCCTCTCAGATCAGGGTTTGGGGCAGGACTGAACCCTAGGAAAGACTGCCAGGAAGTCAGGACTCTTAAGTCATCTGTGGACTGAACCCACAGAATGAACTTGTCTGACATGTCAGGTACCAGATGCTATGGGCAAACTAGGTTAAAACTAACTGGGATTGAATTTTGCAGCTAGTATCTATACCTCTAATTCATACCTGTGCAACTCAGGTTTCGGGGAAGGGAGTTGTGTTGTTTTCAAGAATGCAATGTCAGACACACTGCAACAAAGATCCTGTTAGTCCCTGTGTTTATCTGGATTCTTCATGACTTACAATGTCAAATACTATTAGGGGGGTTCTGGATGGCTCTGTTTGGGGGTTTACAGTATAAGAACAGCCTTCAGGAACTTGGTTTACAGAATTTTCTAACTAAAAGGCTTGATATGGCACAATGGGTTAAGTAACCAAAACTACTACATCGCTTTGAAAATGCAGGAGTAATGCAAGTAATGCAATTGGCTTGTTTCACCAACGAGTTAAAGCCACGCTCCAAGTATAACTGCTGGATTTCCAGCTGAGCTGAGCATTGCTTCCCATACCCATTAGGGCACAGAAGTCATCCACAAACCATGGAGTGTGATGTGCCCAGCTACAAAGCAAAGAGGAGTGCTGCAAACTGTGGAGTGTTCACTGTAGAGCAATGAGACTCTTTCACTGTGTTGTAAGCAAACAGATTTCCCATAAACTCTGCCAGCAAGTGGCTTCCTTAGGCCCTGAAGTCAGCACCGACTTTCAACTGCAGAAAACGTTTTCTCTTCTTCACTTTTGTTCCTCGTGGCTCACAAGTAGAGAAAAGCCTTCCAAGGAGCAGGAAAAAACACACCTTTCATTGGCAAACATGCTCTTGGCTCCCACCTCTATGTCAAAGGAGGAGGAAAGGACAGTGATGCCAAGGTTGGCTCTGAATGGTTGCAATGGCTTGAAATGTCCCTAAAAGGTACAATCCATCCAGTTTCAGTGTATCAGAAACACTTGATCCAACCTGGGGCATATCAGAGCAATAGCATATTGCTATTGGGTATTGAAGGGTTTGTAATTTGATTTTCTGCCTTCTGTGACTAAATTGCTGCATCTTTGCTCTTGTGGTCCAGAAATCCTAGGGAGCCTTCAATGAAATTACAGCTTGTTTTAACTTGAAGGGTGCACTTTACTGCCTGGATATTGGTGTAATGCAATAATATGATGAAAAATACTGTACTTTCATTTGCAAAGTGCTCAGTCTCTTGTAAGTGCTGCAGTTCAGCCAAAGAAGCTAATAAAAATAATTAAGGTAACAGTAACAAAAATGTAGCGTTTTCTATGCGGCATTTCCAAGCAAGTCAGGCTCATATCATTGGTCTTGAGGTAGACAAATATGATCAACCCCCTTTGCCAATGGAGATTCTGTATTAACACACATGGTGTTGAGCTGAAGGAAAGTCTGAGCCTCTCGCAAACACCGATGCCTCTGGCTTGTGGCTATGCCAGGTACCATCCACGTGCCGTCCTCTAAAACAGCAGAGAGGATAGCAACCAACCAGCTGAGTACCTGAGAAAACTTAAAGAATTTTCCAAGGAAGTTATTCTGTGTCCTTTCCATTAGAGGATGTTGACGGAGCAATGCGTTAGAGGGCTGCTCTCTGCTTGTGTGGTTCTCTGGCTTCAACAGAATTACAGCAACAAACCAATCAATGGATTATTAGGCTCAAGTCGCTCTTGGCCCCACATCTCACCCCTCTGGACGGGCAGCCTGAGCCTCTGCCATACCAACCATTCCGCACAGTTCTGTGTCACCTGCAAACTTGCTGTTCGCCTCCCTGAGCAGCCGGACCCCGCTGACCAGCCGGGTTTCTGCCTACAACACGCAGCAGAACCCATGCGTTCCTCCCTGTGTGCCAGGATGACCTCATCTTCCCATCCAGTCAAGTCCAGACTCGGCAAAATCAGCGCAGAGCACTTAGGAGGACACAGCGCTCCCCACGCTGTTACCTAAGCTGCATTACTCCCGCCTAGGTAGGGCAGTGCCTCCCGGATTTCCAGTGCGGGGACTGGGAGGCACAGAGCACGGGTCCAGTTCAGCGCAACGCTCAGCACCCGCTGCCAGCGTGGACCCCGTCATGGCCCCGCAGCTCGTCCGACGGGCGGCCTTCGGGGGGCTGCAATGAAAATCCCCCCTTGGCGGGGCGGAGCTGCTGCCGCAAGGGGAGTGCGAACGCCGCAGCTGACCGCCTGCCGTCTCCTTTTCTTACCCTCCAGTGCCACCTCCTGCCGCCGTCCCATCGCTGCAGCCGGGCTGACAGGCCCAGCCCCACGCTCGCTGCTCCAGGGCCGAAAGCTGCCCAGTGCCAGCTCCCCGCGGCCCGCCGGGCCCGCAGGCCTCTTGCCCGCTGCCGTGTGCAGGAGACTGCGAGAGCCCACCGCCGGGACCGCGGCCACCCCCACGCCGCAGCCGCGGGCCGAGGAGCCCCCCGTGCCGGTGCTGAGGCCGCAGCACCAGCGAGCGTGTGCCCGGGGAAAGCCAAGCCCTGGAGCCAACGGGCAGATGCTGTGCTGTGGCCTGCACACTGCTGGCGTTCAGATAGAACAAATTCACAGAACCACAGAGTGGTTTGTGTTGCAGAGACCTTAATGCTATGGGGCCACCACAAAGTTGGACTGAACCCATCTGAACATAGACACACAGAATCCCAGACTGGTTTGTGCTGGAAAAGACCTTAAAGCTCCTCCAGCTCCAACCCCTGCCACAGGCAGGGACCCCTTCCACTAGAGCAGCTTGCTCCAAGCCCCTATGTCCAACCTGGCCTTGAACACTGCCAGGGATGGGGCAGCCACAGCTTCTCTGGGCACCCTGTGCCAGCGCCTCAGCACCCTCCCAGGGAAGAGCTTCTGTCTAAGAGCTCATCTCAGTCTCCCCTCTGGCAGGTTAAAACCATTCCCTCCCTTGTCCTGTCCTTACATCCCTTGTCCAAGGCCCCTCTCCAGGTTTCTTGCAGCCCCTTCAGGCACTGGAGCTGCTCTAAGGTCTCAAGCCCTAGGGACACTCCGGTATTTCATCTCAGCGGCTCACGCTGGTAACGGCCGGTGACCCCGGTGCAGCCGGTCGATGAGTCCC